TGAGATGTTAAGTGTCATGAGATGCTAATTGTCATATGTTAAGTTTCATGAGATGTTTAGTGTCATGAGATCTTAAGTTTCATGAGATGTTAAGTGTCATGAGATGCTAATTGTCATGATATGTTAAGTGTCATGAAATGTTAAGTGTCATGAGATGTCGAGTGTCAGGTTGCAGGTGGTGGCACTGTATACCCGGGATTTCTATGCTGTCTCACTAGTGCCAGACTTTCTTAGTGACGAAGGTGACAAGTATAGCTAATAACTTATCATAAGTAATTAAAGACATCATCATTATCATCATCATCAACATTATTACTAATTTCTTCACTATTATATTCACCTTCAATATTTTTTCCCTTTGTTGTCATCCTCATCTATACTGACACCACCATTATCACTACTGTCATCATAACCAGCGTGGACCACAGCCTGACAACCCAGCTCTAGGTGTTGCTGGGTGTAGCTACTGTACATCGCTAGCGCACCACAAGAATGTCCCGGGCCACGTCAACTTAGCTGTTCCCCGTCAGAAACACAACTCCTCAGTATTGTTCCTTCTGTGAATTCCCTTCCATGTTGGCAACACTTAGCCAAGACGTAATGAAGGTCACAAGTACGGCGCCACAACACCCAAGACCTGCCTCGCCTCTGTTGCTGAGTAGGGTGGACTCTCGGCCAGGCTAAAGCTGTCACTTGGCCAGAGTCGAGTAATCCCCTGGCCGCAACACACACACACACACACACACACACACACACACACACACACACACCATGGCTAAATCAGTCATATGGCAGGTGCGGCGGCCTTAGTATGTCAAGCAGGGGAGTGAGAGTGGGAAGTGACCGCCCCTGATGGACCGCGGGCGTCACGGTACACCAACCTCCTGCGGTCACCTGTGGATGGGCGAGGTAGTTGCACCTGAGTGATGGCTCAGGTACTGTACTACCTGGGTGATGCGTGTCTTTATCAAACTCTGATATATGAAACTCCTTCCCCTTTTAACATAACAAGTGGCGTGTATAAACAGTGAAGACCACTAAGTCATCGTGTTCGTGGGGTTAAGTTATCACACTTAAGTTACTTAGTCAGTCCCAAACAGGTTAATTCATCATATTCAAGGGTTATTTCATCATCCTTAAGGGGTTAAGTCATCGTCATCCAGGGGGTTAAGTCATCGTCATCCAAGGGGTTAAGTCATCGTCATCCAGGGGGTTAAGTCATCGTCATCAAGTGGTTCAACATATTCTTAGCAAAACGACAAAAGATAACTTATCTCTTAGTCCTACGACGCCACGTCACTCCTCTACAGATACTCTCTCAAAAAAGTATCGGTTGGTAATTCTGATTGTGAGTTGCACCTTTCGTTCTTTCTTCTTGCACCTGATAATCACCATGATATCTGCAGTATACCACCTATTGTCTACACCATGTACTGAAATAAGATGAATTGTGATACCATATACAAAACCAATAACGTCATGAGTAACCCCGCTGATTTATGCACCTTAGATACTATTTCAGCCCCAGGGGACGAGTTGCCAAATAGGAACATAACGTTACTGTTTTCACGAACCGAGGTTACAATGGAATCGTTTCGAACGAAATATGAAACACTATGATCCGATATTACATTCATTTTCAAATATAGAAATTACAGGTGTATTATGATGCCATAACCTATTACAATGACATTATGATTTACTGCATTTCGATTTTATTTCTACCTCAATTGATGAGGTAAACATTATGGATATAACGTATCACCTCATGATTAGTGTTGGCAACGGAACATTATCTGATACACACTATGAGAAGATGTCTGTCGGTGTAAGCTGTGTTTTCCAATGAGTCTCAGGTACTAGTGTTGGTCATGGCCATCCAGCAGAAAACACCCGCCATTTGACTGCCGTTGATATACTTTCGCTATTAAAGATGGAGCAACGTGATTCACCATAATTACAACAAATGCCAGAAATAATAACTGACAACCTCACAGGAAGACAGACCAACATAATGCAGGAATCACAATTAGTAATCGGAAATATTCGTCCATTATGACACATTATATCGATGAGAAAATGGGCCGTTACTTTTTTGGGGGGAGACTGTATACACGAGCTTCGAACCCCAGAGAAAAACAAACACAGAGCCAATCTCCACAGTGCCAGGTGTCACGGGTGCCATTGTTGTTGTAGGGCCAGGAAGATGTGGAGGCCAACAGGTGGACCAGACCAGGAGGGTGGAGGGGATAATGGCGAAGACACGAGGTTAATGAGTGATGAGGAGGCCAAGGGTAAGGAGGAGGCCAGGGGGGGGCTCGGCTACCACTCCCTGTTGACTCACTCGCCTCTATGATTCTCTCACAATCGCCTCCTCCTGGCTGGGATTTTACGATGATTAACAAGATTATCACCAATCTTTTTTTTTTTACGATGATTGACAAAGACACAAACGCTAGACCAACATTGTATCAACCCTGACAGTGATTCGTGGGGGTGGGGGGGAGGGGGGGGGGAGAGACCATATGGGACACAGATCATGACCTAACCTAACCTAGCCAAACCTAACCTAACCTAATCTAGCCAAACCTAACCTAACCTAATCTAGCCAAACCTAACCTAACCTAGCCAAACCTAACCTAACATACCCAAATATATACCCCACCTTAATCTAAACTAACCTACTTTAACCATCCGGAATGGGCCTCATTTCTATTAGTTAGGTTAGGTTAGGTTTTGGTTAAGTACGGTTAGGGTTAGGTTAAGTTATGTTTGGTTAGGTTAGGTCAGGTTAGGTTTGGTTAGAGTGTTTTACGCAGGGGCTAAACTGATCTGAAATCTATACAAATCAGGTCAAGCTTACTCATCTGGAGCATCCCGAGTACCAGGAGAGGAGCGTGTGGTGAAGGTGGGTGTTGGCAGGACCACAACAATGCTCCGCCACATGACCTACAGCAGCTCCCGTCCACCACAACCTCCCCGGCGGGCCAACCTGTGATGTAATTAACGACTTATTTTCTTAATGAGTTATCACAATACAACTGGTTACATATTAACTCGCTTTAAATGTGTAGAACAAACGTTAGAACACTCGGTATTATTTTCCTGTTGAAGATCATCAGGCGAGGTGATGTGTGGAGATGACGTGTTAGTTCTGCACACTCCGGCCGACCAACACATCACGTAATATGTCACTGTCACGGTGACTGTCACACTACGTGGCAGTCCTCACCCCACCACCACAGTGTGGTCATCATTGATGGAGTGTGAGGTCAACCAAGGTCACCCACTGTCTTCACCACTAAGGTTGAGGTATCGCTAGCGAGGATCAGCGCCACCTACCACAGTCTTGTTGTTACTGTCGAGTTTTTAAGTTAGGCTATATATATATATATATATATATATATATATATATATATATATATATATATATATATATATGCGTAGTGTTGTCCACATGATACAAGAGTTTAATGACCCTCGTGAGTCACGACACTGGGTGACGGCTCCACACACTGGCCACCTTCTTTAATTAAGATAATAAAGTTGTTAACAGCGGACAATAATGAGTCTTATTATTAACAGTGAAATATACAATCAATGTAATCCAGTGACGGATTTATTCTTACACTTTGTAATTTCAAATGTTAGAAAAATAAGAATATACAGTATATATATATATATATATATATATATATATATATATATATATATATATATATATATATATATATATATATATATATATATATATATATATATAGTTTCAGTAATTAAGACTGAACTGCTGCAGTGAGTCAAACAATGCCCTCTACAGGAGGTGGTAGTGTCTGGGGCGTAACACTACCGGGTATTATTAGCTCCGGGCACCAGCCTTTAACACTCACGTGACGACCACACAACTGGAAAGGTTTTACTTAATCATAATGACTGTCTCCCTGCTGGACCACCATCACAGTAACTGACCCATCGTTCGGGGTGCAGTGACGGGTATACAAACAATGTACCTAGACAGTGCGGGTATACAAACAATGTATCAAGACAGTGCGGGTATACAAACAATGTATCTAGACAGTGCGGGTATACAAACAATGTATCTAGACAGTGCGGGTATACAAACAATGTATCTAGACAGTGCGGGTATACAAACAATGTATCTAGACAGTGACGGTATACAAACAATGTATCCTGAACAGTGACGAATTTATACAAACGAAGTATCTGAACAATTGACGGTATACAAACAATGTATCTAGACAGTGCGGGTATACAAACAATGTATCCTAGACAGTGACGGGTATACAAACAATGTATCTGAGCGGTGAGCGGGGTGTACAAACAATGTACCTGAACAGTGCGGGTATACAAACAATGTATCTAGACAGTGACGGGTATACAAACAATGTGTCTGAACAGTGCGGGTATGCAAACAATGTCTGAACAGTGCGGGTAGCCAGCAATGTATCTAGACACGGTACGGGTATACAAACAATGTATCTGAACAGTGCGGGTATACAATGTATCTAGACAGTGCGGGTATACAAACAATGTATCTAGACAGTGCGGGTATACAAACAATGTATCTAGACAGTGCGGGTATACAAACAATGTATCTAGACAGTGCGGGTATACAAACAATGTATCTAGACAGTAAGGTAATTCGAACAAGGATGACCAACAGAGTTATTGGAGTGGGAGGTCCTCATTGTGTCCCGAAGGCTGAGTAGTGAGTGAGGTACTGCGTCACCCCGGTGTCTCCTCGCTGGACAGTCAACACAGGAACACGTTAACGAGCAGCACAGCTTAATTTATCTTGACATGATTTTTTTTATCTTTTTGTTTCCTCGACAGACAGACCGTCACGTGAGGACTGTGCTGCCGGACGTGTGTCCCTCACCACGGTTATGTACAGATGTTATTATAAGAGAAATGGCCCATGAAATTATAGGGTGGAGTGACAGCCAACAATATTTCTATATGCCAGTTCTAACTCTCCAAATATTGTATATAGACAGTGAATAAAGTAGTGATTACTTAATAAATCACCAAATAAACACATCCACGGGTCTGGAAGTTCCGTGGCTGTGTTTGGAAAATCGATTTATGGTCAGGAAGTGTCGCGAAGAGAAGCGGGAAGTTCCGAGAACTTGTAGAAAGATTTATTCGCGGAGTATCGGCGACGGCGGTGACTTGTCTGTCACTGGAGGGTGGAAGCAGGATACTACGTTATCTCACCGCAGCTCGGCCTGATGAAGAAAAAAGTACCGGACTTGATACTGCCAGTAATCTCACCCGGTCAGTACGACCATGAGACATGTATTTGTGTACATAAATGCCAGGTTGACAGTACCGGTACCTCGCCTGGCCAAGAGGTGTCTCGGCACACAGGACACTAGAATCCGGGGTTTGTTGTATAATGGTGAGGAGCGAGGGCAGGTCGCGTGAGAACGGCAGTGTAGCTTTGTTTACCGTGCCAGCCACAGGTTCTGAGTGTCTCGTCTCTTAACCCACCATATTATCTCTCCTGTGTTGTGAAAATGCACGGCAGATTTGTGGATCACCTGGTGAACGAGTGGGCGGCGCACACCTCCCTCGCTGCCCCGAGCAGGCTGCCGCAGTGCGACTTGAAGGTAAAAATGAGTCATGAGCTTCCTCCCCTGGCACTCTCAGTGTGCGGCTCTCAACAGTGACACTTCAGGAAAAATTCAATAATGGGCACATTGTTCGTAGCTGCGACACAGATGTGCAGTATATTGCCCTACAATTCTTCTTAATAATAAAAGGGAATTAAATAAATTTAGTGTAAAATTATAAAAGCAATCAGATCACACCTTCGTGTCTTGGTGTTTGTGACCAAAGGCCAACAACAATTAATGAATAAATTTTTTATTATATAAACCTTGGTGAGAGTGACGTCTAAACTTGGCGACGATGGTCCACTGAGGCCAGGGGCGACGCCTCAAGCATGCTTAGTACTTAGCTGCTAACCACAGTGTGAGTCAACAGCCCCACCATAACCTACTAACATACTAACGAAACGACAGTTCTAATACTCTGGGACGCTCATTACTCTGGAGAAAAGATGGCTAGCATTAAATTCCCGCCCCGCTCTGAACAGCACCACCTGTGGGATTCACCGCTGCTACAAGTGTGCGAGGCGGGGCGACCACCTGTGATGGAGGCGGAGGACGAGGATCACTCTAAGTTGAACAAGATCTTCATGTTGTACGTGGTGCTCACCTTCCTGGTCATGCTCGCCATCAAGTACCTCTCCGAGCACAACCTTGTCCTCTTCTTCATCACTGGTGAGTACTGCAGTCGTTTCTTCTTTTGTTGTCATCTCGTATATCTGTGTTTTAATCTTCAGGCGTTCGTGTATTATGTATCCGTATTTCTTACTCTAATGAAACTACCTACCACCTGACGCTGTAATCATAATGACGCCTCGGCCAGCAGCGGCAGGAAGTAGATCTATTTATGTGAAAATATATCCTGGATCTTCCATTAACCACAATATTAAAATTAACCGCTTAAAAATAAGTTAACATGTAAGTATTAGTCTTATGATAAACATTTTTAGCTATGTTAATTATCTCATCTGTAGGAAAGTATCACAACAACACTACGAACTCACAAAACGGAAGCAGTGATAAACTAATCTCTCTTAAGAACACGACCTAGTAAAACACAGCGATTCATATTCTTTTACTCGTGAGAAAACACCCAGCAAAAATACTATCCAACTCTTCATCAATATTCAGTCAGGGATGCGGGGCAGCTTCGAGACGAGACAATATTTTTCTCAGGGTCGGGAGGGGAATCTCTAGTAGCGAGGCAACACAGGCAGGTGGGAGCGGTGGGTCTTGGTGGGTGACAAAAGTATGGAACATTCCTGGCATACAGAGGCTCACTGCTAGCTGTCTAACCCCTGCCAGATACTACTCGCCAACAACACCGTGAAACCACCACTACCACTACACAACCACACTACCACACCCAGCACCGCTAAACACCCACACTACCACACCCTGCACCGCTAAACACCCACACTACCACACCATACACCGCTAAACACCCACACTACCACACCCTGCACCGCTAAACACCCACACTACCACACCCTGCACCGCTAAACACCCACACTACCACCCTGCACTGCTGAACACCCACACACTGCCACACCCTGCACCACTAAACACACACACTACCACACCATACACCACCTAAACACACACACACACACACACTACCACACCTACACCACTAAACACCCACACTACCACACCCTGCGCGCTAAACGCCACACTACCACACCTTGCACCACTTCAACACCCACACTACCACACCTGCCCAAACACCCTACACACCGCTAAACACCCACACTACCACCATGCCCGCTAAACACCCACACTACCACACCCTGCACCGCTAAACACCCACACCACACCTCGCACACACACCCACACCACCTGCACTAAACACCCACACACACACCCACACCACACCACAACACCCTACCACACCTGCCCCCCTACCACACCACCCCTAAACACACACACACACACACACCATACACCAAACACACACACACACACCCACACACACACACACACCACACACACACACACACACCCTTTACAGCCACACACTTACACTCTGTACCACCAATCTCACAGTTCCATTACCACATAAACAACCACATCACCACAATAATACCACACACACCCACACCACTACATTACCATAGTACCACCACAGCACAATCACCTCACCACCACACCACCACAACACCTCCAGCCACAGTACCACAGCACAGACCTACACCACCACATTACCACCACATTTGCAGCCACACCACAACACTACCACCACAGTACCACAATACACAACCACATCACCACACATACTTCACAGTGCCTACATTATGCTCTCCACCCATCAAGAACATGTAATTTACTTCTGGACACCTAACCATTATATATTATAAAAATGAACCACAAAGTTTTAATTGTCGGAGTAAACTTGTGATAAATGTTGTGGGTGAGCCTCGCGGGCATCAGGTTTACCAACAGGTTAATTGTATCACTCAGGTGTTGGGTTACCTGGCCCAGGCCACAGATAGTACGGTACCTGGCTGCCTCTGTAGTACATTAGAGGGAGATAATTTGGAGTACAGGCGCTATAGGAGTTGTGGCAGATGTATACATTACAAGTATGATTATTGTAATTATTTTAGTTCACGAGCTAAGTGACATACAGACGCACTTATGGGGAAAGTCTGCTAAACACATACGAACCTGACCGCCCTACTCGTGTGATCATAGAGCACAGAGCTGATAAACTGTTTGTTAATCCTGGAGATAAAAAACAAAAAACATACTTGAGCCAATTGTAAAAGCCAGACACTTGGATAAAATTAGTTTCGTTGGTGAAAGTGTTTCTTAAGAACTGCCAGACGAGCCAAGACACTGGACAAAATCATCGTGGGCAGGAGTCCCTCACCCCGTCATCGGCTAGAGCGGCTATACTAGTGGGGGTTAGGAGGTAGGCGGGGGAGGTCTCAGAAGCCAAAAAAAAAAAAGTGACACCAGCCATCAATTTACAACTGAGTGAGGTATATTGACTGTTTACAAGGGGTGACAGGGTAAGTGGCAGGAGGCGACACAAGGCCATACATCATCAAGAGAAAGTGTTGACTTGAGTGTAATATAAACCAGGGTACGGACACTACTTCACCTTAAACATTTCTTACTATTTTCGTAGCCATTGTGTAGCATATACTTGCCAGGTGGGGGGTGGGTGTAGTCTAAGTCAACCACCTCCACATTCTTATTAAAGTATTCAAGATCGTAATCATTGGGTTTATTATTTTAACTTTTACCAAATAAAATACCACAGGGATAGATCAGACAAGTGTTACTGTCAGATTTATTAACCGAGGCGTTGACCCATTGTCAAACACTGAAGATAATATATGACGCAGGAGAATTAGAAGCATGTTAGAGAAGACTAACTATTGCTGGGGTCCACACGGGGCTTGTCCAGGGTAATGTTGAGGTTAGGTTTGGTTAGGTTAGGTTAGGAGCGTACAACACTTACAGAAATTATTGCATATCGGTCATATATTACGAAAAAAAGAAAGAAAGAAAGAAATTTGATTTAAAAAGAGAAAACAAAGAGAAAAGTTTTGAGAGGACAAGAACCAAATAATATTAAGCTGGTTTAAGTTGGCTGAGGCAGTTGAGTCCATCAATGACTTTCTCCTCCTCTCGTCTGTTAATGGGGGTGAGTGACAGGCGGTGCTGTGGTGTGATCTGTTGACTGTACACAACCGGTAAATAGAACAACAGATAAACATCACTGTCATGGTATCAGGAGGTGTCAGGAGGGTGTCAGGGGATGTCAGGAGGTGTCAGGGGATGTCAGGAGGTGTCAGGGGATGTCAGGAGGTGTCAGGGGATGTCGGGAGGTGTCAGGAGGTGTCAGGGGGGTCAGGAGTGTCAGGGATGTCAGAGGGGGTCAGGAGGTGTCAGGGGATATCAGGAGGAGTGTCAGGAGGTGTCCCGAGTGTCGAAGTCGGGAATGATGTCAGGTGGTCAGGTGGTGTCAGGGGGTGTCGGAAGCAGGGTGAGTGGTTTGAGGGCAGCAGGGTGAATGGTGGTTACGGGGTGGCAGACAGGGTAGTGAGTGGTAGGTAGTATAGTGAGTGACAGGGGGTGGCAGGTAGGGGGTGGCAGGCAGGGGGTGGCAGGCAGGGGCGGCACTGGACCACACATCAAAGGGTAATCCATCCATTAAACCCAACCATAACACACATGTCCTAAAGCGGCTCTATCTCTCCCTATCTCGTCGTCTCTCTCTTTCTCTCCTCGTCGTCTCTCTCTCTTCCTCCTCGTTTCTCTCCCAATCTCTTCGTCTCTCTCTTTCTCTCCTCGTTTATCTCTCTTCCTCTTTGTGTCTCTTTTACTATAGTCGTATTTACACAGTTTTCTCTTCTCCC